CTATCTATTGACATAGGAGAATAAAATATATTCATTCATCAGAGTGTTCTTTACAAAAAGGATTACATGTTGACAACAAAAGTAAATGCCCTACGGGCTTACAACTTTTCAAGCCAACACTTGGTTACAACAAAAGAGGGTCAGAAGCCCTTTACAAATAAAGCCCTCAGCTTGGAAATAAAACATATAAACATAAATAAAACAACACAAAGAACTTTAGCCTCAAACCTCCCAAGCTAAGTCCTTGGAGGTGGCATATTACCTGTACCTGAAAATTGTGTCTCAAGTAGGGTGAGCCAAAACCCAGTAGAGATATGCTAAACCAAATATGAGAAATAACCAAAACATTAGCATCTGATAAATGTTCAACACATACACATCGATTTACACCATTTCTATAACCCATCATCATTGATATTCACCTTTCAACCCGGTTCCATTTCTATTTCCAATTCACTTATTGGCATGGTTCGTTTATCCAAGTAATTCAAATGAGACAACTCATAAAGACAACACTTCAATTCATCAATGATTTAAAATGAGACTACAACTCATAAAGAAGACACTTCAATCCATCAATAATTTAAAATGAGACTACAACTCATCTTATCAATACTTCAATTCATCAACATCATTCAGATGCATTTGAGGTTTTGGGACTTTCACCCTGGACACTCCGGCCAACTTAATTATCATTGGAGTCCATCCCCTATCTCCTCCCAAACACTGGAGTACATCCCTTATCTCTTCCCAAACAATGGAGTACATCCCCTTTCTCCTCCCAAACAATATACATATACAATGTATTTAAACACATTATCATATACAATGATCAATTCAAGCACATATTCAATGTGTTAATCCCACCGTCATATTCAATGACATATTTCAACTGATTAGTTTCAATTCACCTAATCATCATGCTTTTCTACAACAATCATGGTTATCCTCCACCGATAGCCCAAAACAGTTATATCTAAACAGATAATTAAATTTCTCAACAGATAATATAACGCATTTTCCATAGGTGAGTGATTCATCAATCCAACTACACCATTTAACCACAATCTCCTCCAATTTCATGGTTTCCTAACCAATTTCATATTTCTACATTGATTTCATCAATTACATAAATAGTTTACATAATGAAAATTAGGGCAATCTACCCCTTTCCTCAAATATTGCACCCAAGGCCAAATCTCACCCATTATACATAGTAACATCATTTGTGAGACCACATCTGCACATGGAACTCCAAAAATAGAAAACCCCTCTTTTATAAAGTCAATCTCAAACCCTAACTTCACCCAAAACCCCAAATCCCACCATTTATACAAAATGACCAATACTTAGGTTAAAACTCATAAAGAAGAGTAGAATATCCTTACCTCAAAAAGGAAAGACGAGCCAAGCAAGAGATGAACTCCAAAAACACCGAAATCAACTTCTACTCGGATGAAAATGGACATCTTGAGAAGCTCCAACTTTTTAATGAAGGAAGGAGGGTGAAGAGATCACTAGATCTAGGTCAAAATGTAGAGAGAGAGAGAGTATTTTAGAGAGAGAAACTCTCAACTTAGGGTTTTGGAAAGTTTGAGAGAGAAAAAGGATAGAAAAAGTGATTTAAAATGTCACTTTCGCGATCTGATATACGCACAGTCCACTCGAGTAGAGAGTTTTACGCTCGAGCGTCAGACACAATAATTTGACTCGCTCGAGCGCAAGAAAGGCCGCTCGAGCGCCAAGACACAACAACAAAACAATACCCGCTCGAGCGCAATGAAGCCTGCTCGAGCGTAGAATACACACTTCCAGTATTTTCACAGACTTCAAACAAACGGTCGAGCTCCAGAAGGGCCGCTCGAGCGTGAAAAACACCTCTGCAGCATCTCTTGCAGACGCACAAGGTACTGAAGGATTACAAACCCCGCTCGAGTGTAAGAAGTCTCGCTCGAGCGGGAGACCAAAATTCTGGGCAACAACCACTTGCACCCACTCACTACCAACCTATTCTAAACAAGCCCAAGATATTCCAAAACTCAAATACAAAGGATTCAAAGGACGGAAACAAGATAAAGACAATAATAACCATGACGGAACCCAAGTCCGGAATAAAATAAATGACGGAACCTGTCTGGATTCCTGTCGATTTCAATTCGATCCAGATCTTCGGTTGCCTTTTCACTTGGAAGCCGCCCAACATCGTCGAGGCTCTCTCGATCCGACACCTCAATAGAATTCACTTCCAACTCCCTTGGTGTCTTTGCGGCAAGAAGATAACATACTTGTGCCGATTTCTGGGAACCGCGAATTTGTTCAATGTCGCGTTCAGTCGGGAAGCGAAGTAGTTGATGATAGGTGCTTGGCACGGCCTGCATGGTATGCAGCCAAGTTCATCCCATGATAAGATTATACGGCGATGGAAGCTTGACAACCAAAAATTCTACATCCACTGATCGGGAGCCCGCGCGAACTGGCAGTGTGATTTTGCCCAATAGATATTCCGGATTAGCGTTGAAGCCGAATAACGGGTAAGAAGCTGGAGACAGATCCGACTCAGTGAAGCCGAGTTTGACAAAGGTCTTGTAGTACATAACTTCCGAAGTGCTCCCCTGATCAATGAGAACACGCTCAACGGTGAATCGGTTTACGCGTAGCTCGATGACCAAGGGATCAATGTGGGGAAGCGTCATGCCAGCCAAATCTGAATCATCGAAACTAATACTTATAGCTTCGTGGGGCCGTTTCACTGGTGTGATTTTCTTTTGGGGGTTAGGATGTGACTGAATTATATGTACGGCGGATGCCGTCGGCAAGCTGTATATCATATGAATTATGCCGAGTGGAGGTGAATCCTGCTGTAGAGTAACTATTTTGGTTGAGTCGTTCTTTTAGACGTGTTGCTTAAGCTAACCGTCTTGTACCAACTCCTCAAGGTGATCTTTCAAAGCATAATAACTTTCAATATCATGACCGTGATCTTTGTGATATTTGCACCGCCTATCCCGTCTCCTCGTATCGGGTGGTCCCACCATCTTAGGTGGCCATCTGAAGAACAACAGATGTTATACTTTAGACATAACCGTACTGATCGGCTCTGACAACTCCGTATATTTCTTGTCCGCACGCCTTATGCGCCTGCTATCCACTTGAAGTTGTTCATTAGACCGGTGTGGACATTGGTCGTTTGATCGGTGCGAATCTCGTCTTCTGTCTTGTTTAGTCTGATTTCGTGATTCAGGGCTTCGTGATGGTACCGAATTTATCGGCTGAACGATTTCAGATGGGGCCGTCTTGTTGGCCTTGTGCTCGGTTTTGACCCATAGGGCGTCATCTTCCACTTTGCAATATTCCTCAACTCTCTTCATCAACGACCAGACTGTTTTGGGGAGCCTTCTGGTTAAGGCTTCAGAGGGCACTGCCAGGATGCAATCCCATTTTAAAGGCGGTGATGGCCATGGAGTCGTTGTAGGCATCATTTACGAGATTAAAGCATTCCCAATAGTGCACCGAATACGCTCGCAAGGTTTTCCCTGGCTGGATTTGCATTGCCCAGAGAGAATCGGCCGGCTTCGGTTGGACCTCATTGGTAATGAACCTTGCCCTGAAGGATTTTTGGAGTTGATGGAAGCTCTTAATCGATGCTGGCTCCAATTTATAGTACCATCTGACGACCAAAGGTCCCAAACTGCTCGGAAATATTAGACACATGAGGGCCTTGTCGTCTACATGTAGCATCATGGCTTGCTTATAATGACAGATATGATCTGTGGGGTTTGATTTTCCATCGTATAGGGTGAACGATGGAGCTTTGAACTTTTTGGGTAGCACTGCCCGTGCGATCCTTCGAACTAAGGGGTCATGTTGATCCTCTTCGTTTGAACCATTTCTTCTTCGCTTATTCCGTGCACGCGGACTCTTTTCGGAGGAACTGGAGGTTTCGACTCGTTCCTTTTTTTTGGATTTTGGGAATAATGAGTCAGAATCACCGTCACTATCTTGTCTCTGAACTCGAGGTCGTCGACCATCCCTTCTCAGAGGTCGTCCTGGATCTTGGCGTACAACTTGTTGGGATTTTGCCACCACTAAGGCCAAATCTTGTCGAAGGCGCTCGTTCTCAGCGATCATGTTTTCCAACCTCTATTTGTTTTGCTTCGCCTAATCTATAATCGTTTGCATTGTCTCATGTGCTGATGTCAAGGATGAGGTCTGGGCAACTGAATCGAAGTTCAAGGTTCTTCGTGCGGCGATGGTCTCGGACCCAAGCATGTTGCTTGAAGTGGTTTCATCTTGTCGCATAAGGTTGTCAGCGACTATCGGAGAATCTTCTGTTACGCCCACCATGGATATGCTGGAGTATTCCCACAGACGGTGCCAATTGTGGAGAAGTGGTTCGGAAATACTCTTTGGATCCAATAAGACGCTCATAATCCTCAGCTAGTCACCTGAAAATGAATGAACACTCCAGTCGGGGGTGCCGGAATTAGCACTCTGACGGATAAGTCAGTGTATACTCTCTTGGTTGCTTATATCTCAAGTAAATTTATTTGTTTTCACATACCTCTTTTGGCTGATGCTCCTCTTATTTATAGTCATCCTCGATGTTGATGGTTGGGCCCACCGTGGTTCGGAAATACTCTTTGGATCCAATAAGACGCTCATAATCCTCAGCTAGTCACCTGAAAATGAATGAACACTCCAGTCGGGGGTGCCGGAATTAGCACTCCGACGGATAAGTCAGTGTATACTCTCTTGGTTGCTTATATCTCAAGTTAAATTTATTTGTTTTCACATACCTCTTTTGGCTCGATGTTGATGGTTGGGCCCACCTTTCGTCCAATGAACAATCGCTCATTCGGCTATTTCTTTATATTCGGCCCAATCTACAACTGATACAGAGGCCGATCTGGATATTTGGCCTCTGTCCCTCGGGGCTATGAGCCGTATAGTACATGATCTAGTTTCCTTCTTTAATATATTCGGCTATCCTACATAATAATTTACTCGGCCTCCACAGGAATTAATGTGATGAAAGAGCTATTCATCCCAAAAGCCAATCTACTCACATTGTAAAACTCCTTCATGAAAAGCCTCACCTCTTCTTTAAACGCCTTCCAGTTCTTTTGAAAACACATGAAGTTGAAGCTATCTGGACCTGGAGCTTTGTTCTCATTACATTCTTTTACTGCAGCCCATATCTCTTCCTCCAAGAATTCTACTTCCAATTGCTGGAAACCAGCACTACAACTGACACTCTTGAAGTCACCAATTAAACACAAGTCTAGTCCTCTATTCCTCTGAAATGTCTGTTAAAATGAGCCCATACTTCTTGCGTCACTTGCTCTGGATCCTCAACCACCCTCTCTTCAACTAAAATAGAATTTATTGCGTTCCTATTTTGCCTACTACTGGCCATCACATGAAAGAACCTTGTGTTCTTGTCCCCTTTTAAAGTCCACTCCAATCTTGACTTCTGCAACAATTCCCATTCCAACATTCTGCTGAGCCTCCACATTTCACTTCTTACCTCTCTTTTTAACTTAACCTCTGCTTCCAACAGGGGTCTATCTTCAACCAATAGATCCAAAGAATGTAACTGACACTCAACTTCTTTAATTTTTTCCGAGACATTACCAAACACCTCTTTACTCCATTTCTTCAATGCTAACTTCAATGCATGTAATTTCCTATGCAATATGAAACCTGCTCTGCCATTTCTTGACAGTGATATTACTGCTTTGGCAAAGGAAAAAATTTATACTTATATTAATCTTGAAGAGATGACTATTAATCAGGTAAGTGCTTCAATTTGTAATTGTTGAGGTTATGTGCTTTCCAAGTCAAGTATCTTGATTACTTACCTAAAAAAAAAAAAGTGATGATGTATCATAGTCTTTGTTTAAGGAATTGTGTTATGATATCCACTACTTATTTGAGTACATGCAAAACTACATGAATTGATTTTGAAAGAGTTTGGGTTAGTACAAATTTGGCAAGAAATGCTGAAAATCTTTTCATTTTCTCTGTGTTTTTGTTTTGGAAAATATCCAGGCATTGCAGCTAGGACAAAAGCCATATTCTCCATATGGATCCAGTAGTCAAAGATGTCACATGTGTTTATGATCTGATCCACTGCATAAAGTGATGGAGCGATTGGCAAATCCAGGTTATTTTCATTCTCTCTTCTTTATACTATGTGAAATGTGCTAATTTTGTGAGCGACTAAAATCTGGAGTATATGAATGTATGATAAAAGTTGTCGGGTTTTTGATAAAATTAAAAATATGGCTAGGAGTTATTTATGCCCACCCCATCTATCAATAAATGAGATTCTTATGTGTTCCTTTTGGGAAAATTGATGCGTTCGACAGCAATTAATTTGAAGGGTAGTATGAATAATCAACCTGGTATTAGGGTTGGAATTCTGTTCTACTTGGATTTTGAGAAGCTAGTTGGTTTCATTGAGTGTGTTAAGTGTTTACGATTTTCTGTGTGAGCTGAATTTCTTTTTTGGTTAACTAGAAAACATATTCTGTGAATTGTCCTTGGACTAGGGGATTGCTGTTATGTTTATTAAATTGAACTAGAAAAACTTTGGCTGTGTTTGTCACAACCCCAAACCGCCCCTAGTAGTTTGGTGCCATGATGGCCAGTAATCCGTGATTACCGAAGGCCAACTTTCAAAAACTTAACACAATCAGAGTATGGTAAACGGGGCTCACAAACGCGGAAGCAATAATCTAAAATACAAGTGGTCCATAAGAGCTGTGCATAGATCAAATGCAACGTCATTCATCTTACAACTTGAATACAACCCAACAAAATACGTATTACATCTTGATCAAAAGGCTTCTTGAGCCGACATATACAAAATACAGCAAATACAAGCCAAGAAGCATGATTTTCAAGATTCGCTGACATGAAATAAAAGGCATCGCCGACGTAAATACAAAACAAGGCCGACATAATCATGAGTCCAAATAAGCTTTCAAACAGTCTAGGCGTCGCCGACGTCCTGCTCATCACCTACATATATATAGAGAGGGTGAGCTTGGATACTCAGTGAATGGTACTAAAAATAAAGGTTTTGCATGAATATAGCCGCAGCCTTTCAAAACAAACGCATCAAACTTTATCAAGACAAGGGATGAACCGTATTCATCAATGAAGTATTACAACATTGGCGAAGCAAGGGATGAACTGTATTCATCAATCAAGTATTACAACATCGGCGAAGCAAGGGATGAACCGTATTCATCAATCAAGTATTACAACATCGGCGAAGCAAGGGATGAACCGTATTCATCAATCAAGTATCACAAGTATCAAAGGATGCTTACTGACATCGGCAAAACACATCAAGCTCATCAAAACAAGGGCTCTACGATCCGCAATCGTTTAATCAAAGGCACTGCGAAAGTTTATAGTCCTCCAACACAAGGGACTTGTGTTACTTAAGCCCGTAGCCCGATTTAACATAGTAATCTTTTCAAGAAAGGACCGTATCCTTTTACACTTAGTACTGCGAAAGTTTGGGGTCCTCCAGTACAAGGGACCGGTGTTACTTGGGCCCGCAGCCCGATTTAATCATAGCAAAACTGGTGTTACTTAGGCCCGTGGCCCGATTTAACATAGCAAAACTGGTGTTACTTAGGCCCGTAGCCCGGTTTAACAAGGACCGTATCCTTTACACATAGTACTGCGAAAGTTTAGAGTCCTCCAACACGATTTCATTTCCCGAGAGTTGACTTTTGTTGACTTTTTCATTTCCCGAGAGTTGACTTTTGTTGACTTTTTCATTTCCCGAGAGTTGACTTTTGTTGACTTTTTCATTTCCCGAGAGTTGACTTTTGTTGACTTTTTCATTTCCCGAGAGTTGACTTTTGTTGACTTTTTCATTTCCCGAGAGTTGACTTTTGTTGACTTTTTCATTTCCCGAGAGTTGACTTTTGTTGACTTTTTCATTTCCCGAGAGTTGACTTTTGTTGACTTTTTCATTTCCCGAGAGTTGACTTTTGTTGACTTTTTCATTTCCCGAGAGTTGACTTTTGTTGACTTTTTCATTTCCCGAGAGTTGACTTTTGTTGACTTTTTCATTTCCCGAGAGTTGACTTTTGTTGACTTTTTCATTTCCCGAGAGTTGACTTTTGTTGACTTTTTCATTTCCCGAGAGTTGACTTTTGTTGACTTTTTCATTTCCCGAGAGTTGACTTTTGTTGACTTTTTCATTTCCCGAGAGTTGACTTTTGTTGACTTTTTCATTTCCCGAGAGTTGACTTTTGTTGACTTTTTCATTTCCCGAGAGTTGACTTTTGTTGACTTTTTCATTTCCCGAGAGTTGACTTTTGTTGACTTTTTCATTTCCCGAGAGTTGACTTTTGTTGACTTTTTCATTTCCCGAGAGTTGACTTTTGTTGACTTTTTCATTTCCCGAGAGTTGACTTTTGTTGACTTTTTCATTTCCCGAGAGTTGACTTTTGTTGACTTTTTCATTTCCCGAGAGTTGACTTTTGTTGACTTTTTCATTTCCCGAGAGTTGACTTTTGTTGACTTTTTCATTTCCCGAGAGTTGACTTTTGTTGACTTTTTCATTTCCCGAGAGTTGACTTTTGTTGACTTTTTCATTTCCCGAGAGTTGACTTTTGTTGACTTTTTCATTTCCCGAGAGTTGACTTTTGTTGACTTTTTCATTTCCCGAGAGTTGACTTTTGTTGACTTTTTCATTTCCCGAGAGTTGACTTTTGTTGACTTTTTCATTTCCCGAGAGTTGACTTTTGTTGACTTTTTCATTTCCCGAGAGTTGACTTTTGTTGACTTTTTCATTTCCCGAGAGTTGACTTTTGTTGACTTTTTCATTTCCCGAGAGTTGACTTTTGTTGACTTTTTCATTTCCCGAGAGTTGACTTTTGTTGACTTTTTCATTTCCCGAGAGTTGACTTTTGTTGACTTTTTCATTTCCCGAGAGTTGACTTTTGTTGACTTTTTCATTTCCCGAGAGTTGACTTTTGTTGACTTTTTCATTTCCCGAGAGTTGACTTTTGTTGACTTTTTCATTTCCCGAGAGTTGACTTTTGTTGACTTTTTCATTTCCCGAGAGTTGACTTTTGTTGACTTTTTCATTTCCCGAGAGTTGACTTTTGTTGACTTTTTCATTTCCCGAGAGTTGACTTTTGTTGACTTTTTCATTTCCCGAGAGTTGACTTTTGTTGACTTTTTCATTTCCCGAGAGTTGACTTTTGTTGACTTTTTCATTTCCCGAGAGTTGACTTTTGTTGACTTTTTCATTTCCCGAGAGTTGACTTTTGTTGACTTTTTCATTTCCCGAGAGTTGACTTTTGTTGACTTTTTCATTTCCCGAGAGTTGACTTTTGTTGACTTTTTCATTTCCCGAGAGTTGACTTTTGTTGACTTTTTCATTTCCCGAGAGTTGACTTTTGTTGACTTTTTCATTTCCCGAGAGTTGACTTTTGTTGACTTTTTCATTTCCCGAGAGTTGACTTTTGTTGACTTTTTCATTTCCCGAGAGTTGACTTTTGTTGACTTTTTCATTTCCCGAGAGTTGACTTTTGTTGACTTTTTCATTTCCCGAGAGTTGACTTTTGTTGACTTTTTCATTTCCCGAGAGTTGACTTTTGTTGACTTTTTCATTTCCCGAGAGTTGACTTTTGTTGACTTTTTCATTTCCCGAGAGTTGACTTTTGTTGACTTTTTCATTTCCCGAGAGTTGACTTTTGTTGACTTTTTCATTTCCCGAGAGTTGACTTTTGTTGACTTTTTCATTTCCCGAGAGTTGACTTTTGTTGACTTTTTCATTTCCCGAGAGTTGACTTTTGTTGACTTTTTCATTTCCCGAGAGTTGACTTTTGTTGACTTTTTCATTTCCCGAGAGTTGACTTTTGTTGACTTTTTCATTTCCCGAGAGTTGACTTTTGTTGACTTTTTCATTTCCCGAGAGTTGACTTTTGTTGACTTTTTCATTTCCCGAGAGTTGACTTTTGTTGACTTTTTCATTTCCCGAGAGTTGACTTTTGTTGACTTTTTCATTTCCCGAGAGTTGACTTTTGTTGACTTTTTCATTTCCCGAGAGTTGACTTTTGTTGACTTTTTCATTTCCCGAGAGTTGACTTTTGTTGACTTTTTCATTTCCCGAGAGTTGACTTTTGTTGACTTTTTCATTTCCCGAGAGTTGACTTTTGTTGACTTTTTCATTTCCCGAGAGTTGACTTTTGTTGACTTTTTCATTTCCCGAGAGTTGACTTTTGTTGACTTTTTCATTTCCCGAGAGTTGACTTTTGTTGACTTTTTCATTTCCCGAGAGTTGACTTTTGTTGACTTTTTCATTTCCCGAGAGTTGACTTTTGTTGACTTTTTCATTTCCCGAGAGTTGACTTTTGTTGACTTTTTCATTTCCCGAGAGTTGACTTTTGTTGACTTTTTCATTTCCCGAGAGTTGACTTTTGTTGACTTTTTCATTTCCCGAGAGTTGACTTTTGTTGACTTTTTCATTTCCCGAGAGTTGACTTTTGTTGACTTTTTCATTTCCCGAGAGTTGACTTTTGTTGACTTTTTCATTTCCCGAGAGTTGACTTTTGTTGACTTTTTCATTTCCCGAGAGTTGACTTTTGTTGACTTTTTCATTTCCCGAGAGTTGACTTTTGTTGACTTTTTCATTTCCCGAGAGTTGACTTTTGTTGACTTTTTCATTTCCCGAGAGTTGACTTTTGTTGACTTTT